CGATGCTTCGGTGAATATGGTCCATTGTATGATGTGCTTCTGGATGTTCCTCGTGGTGAAGCGTTGGTCTCCTACACTGAATCAGCATCTGCACAAGACGCGTATTTAAAAATGAATGGGTTTCTACTTTTTGGCGAAGCAATAGAGGTCAGTATCACTGCCCCTCCCGTATGTGATATACCTGGATGCGTAGTTACGTATAGGCCTTCACGGTCTCTGATCATTCGTGGTGCTTCGTCGTTGTGGGTGGAGTTGAATTTGAGACACGTGAAAGGAGTGGAGCAGCTCCAATTCGTTGATCCTACCACTACTATTGTTTCTTTTGAAAACCAGCGAATATCAAGGGCAATCAAAAGGAATTTTGACGGACACATCGGCTATAATGAAAAGCCAGTTTTGGTCTTGTATTTAAAACGAGCTTGAATCTTTTGTTTTGTCCTTTGCACTTTTTCAGAGTCTTGGCATGCACTGTGAACAGATGCTGAAGGAAGTGGAGCGAATGCAACATGAGAACTGGATTGCAGTTGAAAAGGCTGAATGTGCTCTGCGGTACGTCTGTGGTTTCCTTGATAGGCTAATGTCTTTACTGAGGCCACATGTGTCGTCGCAAACTCCAGAGAGACTTGAATACGGCGGTTTCTGATTTTTTTTTAAAAAAAGGAATGTTGTCCTCAGTAAAATGGAGTTGTCTGGGGTGAGACAGCAACCATTGTGCGGCGAACAATAGTAATAAAGAGCTGATCATTGGGCGTGTGTGTGTTGTGGAAGGGGGGGGGGTGATCACTGTGCAAGCAACTGAGCAATTCTATACCAGTGAAGTTGTGAATTGCAATTTGGTTGCTTGAGGTGCCATCGGCGTCGTCAGAGTTTTGGACAGATGAGTGAGGTCGTCTACTTTTTTTTCCTGCTCTCATTCTCTCTCTGTGTGTATATGTGTACGTTTGAATGTGTGTCGTCAGTCTCACTCCTTCACAGCGTGGGTTGGATGTAAAACGTGTTTGCCCCCTGTATTTGGATTCTTATTTATTATATTTTACTGTGGGTTTTTTTTTTTTTGGCCCTTCCTTCAATTCAAGTAGTTCAGCAGATAATGAGCAACTTCTTCGACGTCAGTGACAGCGATGAGAGCCTGGACGAGGTCATTCATCAAGATGAGCAGGTTGAAAAAAAGGTGGCCCAGATTGACCCCAAGTGGTTTGAGGTGTCTGATGACGAGGATGCAGATGAAAGGCACGTTGTTCTCTCTCGAAATGAGAAGTCGTTGAACGAAATTCAAACCATATGCGACCTTTTTGACTTTAATGTCGATCAAGAGTCTTGGTTTGAAGCAGAAAAGTCCTTTGTGCAGCTCCAGCAGAAAGGGGCTACACATAAAGAAAAATTCAAATCAGCTCCTTGGCCACTTTTGGAGTGTCTTCGAAACACCCCGGACCTCTCCGAAAAAATGGCTGAGAAGGAAGCCTTTAAAAAGCCAGAAGATTTCTACAGTCTGAAAAAGTTAATCAAAGCCTTTGAAGAAATGAATGAGATGTACAAGGATGATATCGAAAGGTTACATGATGAAGAAAGTGAAGAAAATGAGGACGATGGAAACAATGGCGGGGAGGAAAAGGAGCTAACTGAGGAGAGCATTACACAGGAGCTGCAGCAATCGATGACTCAAAAAGGAAAGAATGCTTCCAGATGTCAAAAGCTAGCTCAGGAATGCAAGAAAAAAGGCTACACAGCGCTTCACATTACAGCATTGGGCATTGTTGCAGATGCCCTGCTGGAAGAAGATAACCGGCTTCCTTACGTTACAACAACTACCTGGACAAAGTCTTGTAACACTGTCAACGCATGCTATAATCTTGTAACTGAAAATCCCGCGATAGCGGTCAAGGAGGACTTTTCCGTCGCTCTCACAAGTAACCGTGCGTGTATTTCAGGTGGTTTGTGTGGTCTTCTGCAGAAGCTGCATGTGCATTTGCAACGCATTGCACAATTCAAGGTTGGCGCCACAGTGGACTACTTTGAAATTATCCAATTGGAGAACCGTCTAGTGGAACTCACAGACACCATTCTTGGATACTATCAGCAACGCAGGCGAGGAAAGATGATTTGTTGCCAAATTCTTATTGACATCCTGGGTGCAAGACGGCAGAAGGCTCATGATATCCTCTATCAGAAAATGGCTAGTCCATGCCACAATGTGGTTACTAGCTCAGTCATTGAAACGGTGCGTGAACTTTATCGAGAGCTCCTATTTTTAGGAGACGAAGAGATGAAGTGTCGTGCTCTCCTAAACCTTGCATATCAGATGGGATTGGAAGGACAGTATCGTGAAGGACGAGACCTCGTTCTTCGGTCCGGAGTGGAGGGAACCGTAGAAAAGTCTCTACATCTTGCCATTCTCTACAACCGAGTTATTGCACAGCTGGGTTTGGCCTCCTTTGCTGCAGGTGACATTATGCAAGCCTACAACCTTCTCAGCTCCTTGTGGTCTAATAGAGACCACGACGTACTGATTAGCCAGCGCCTTCCAGATTTTGTTAAAGATAACGAAGAAGAGGAGCTGAAGTTTCGTGACTTGCTGGTGGCTCCACATGCCTACATTCCTCACGCGCAACTGGAACTAGCGACAATGCTTTCTACTCTCGTGGTAGACACGACGAAAGAAGCCAAGAGGCCCTACGAAGGCAGTCGTCATCAGAGCTACTTCTTCAGGGTGATCAACCAAATGTCTTATCAACCATTGCTGGGCGAGCCTGTGGAGTTCAGGGAGCAAGTTACTGCCGCTTACACTGCCCTTAAGTTGGGCGATTATGCAAAGGCCAGTGGGGTTGTCAAGAACATGAGCGCATGGTCGACGATGCCAAACGGTGATAATGCGTTAAAAGTCTTCTTGCAGCACCTGAAAGAAGCAGCTCTTCGTATCTTCTGTTACAATAACCGGTGCAATTTTGCCACAATCTCCGTGGATATGATGATGAAGAAGTACGAGCTAACTGAGAATGAAGTAAAATGCGTCATCAACGATATTATCTCAGAAAACAACAGTTCTCTGGTAGCTTTCTGGGACAAGGAAGACAAATATCTCCACGTGGACAGAAGCAACACTTCTCGGCTTCAGTATCTGGTGGAGGGAATCACAGAAAGCGTGGTGGAGGTTGCACAGTACTCGGAGAGGCGTGTACGGGACAGTGAATTCAGAGGAGGACGTGGGCGCGGACGCGGGCGTGGACGTGGCAGAGGAGGTCGTTAACTAAGGAGGGACGTAACTACCATTAAACGTAAGAGCAATAACAAGAGAGAGGTACTGGTGCATGCTCTATTCCCTGATCGCCCCAACGAAAGGGGTCTGTGGTGACGATGGGGAGTTATGTATCTATATGTATACGTTCTCTTTCTTGTTGTTTCCGTTTTTTTTTTTTGGATATATCAGAATAGTGTAGATGTCCACTCTGGAGGAGGAGACGTTTCTACGACTTCTCACGAGAATAGACAATGAGGAGTACAGCCCCAACTTGGGTGAACGAGCTGTTCTTTACCGTGCGTTCAACAGCACGCTTAACCCTTTAGGAATTTACTTCGCATTTGTCGGTGCGGTTGGGGGTTTTATGGGTATGAGCTATACGCGAAAACCTTCTTGGCGAGCATTTGGTGCGTTATTGGGTTCCCTGTACTCTTTTGAGGTGTCTTGGGGTTTTCAAGGCCATCAGCCTTGTTTCAGTTTCTTTAACGACATTCGATCGGTAGACGGCCAAGTACGAGACAAGGCGGGTGAGTGTCACGCATCAGGGCATTTGAGTAGAAGTTGTTTATCACTTCGGGGGATTGTTTTTGACTTTTTCACATTGGACAGGACGGCAAAATGGCTCTACACAGTTGTGTTTGCACCTGCCGGTCGAGCGCGCTGGTTCACGCATTTTAGAATGGAATGGCTTGAGGGGTTGCCAATAGATCCATTGACATTATGGTACTGGAGGTTTGCAGTGTCTCAAGCTGCTCGAAGGTAAGAGGGTTGTGGTGTGTGGTTGGATTCTGGCTGGGGAGAGGGTGCGTGTAAATGGTGTTTTTTTTTCGTTTGTTTGAGGGGGGAGAGGGGGGTTGTGGTATTCTGTAACAATACCAGTGATTTGTGTCACTAATTATGAAAATTTGCTCCGCGCCCTACAGTGCAGGCCATTTTGTTAGATTTATCCTCAACTACAGGCCCTGCTTTTCCAACAGAAGAATTCGCTGTTGAAGGTTCTGTCGTGATGCAACAAAAGAGAATCATAGATGTGGATGGCGCACCAGCATCAGCGATAAGTTACGAGCCTGTCCTAATACCCAAGGATAAGTACGCGAAGATAACGCATGGAAGAAACGTTTTTTTCGCTTCATGTATCGGAGGGGCTTTTGTGGTTTGGGTCATTAGCATGGTTCCGCAAGGCCTTATGTACCGTTCGTTGGGGCGAATGTACCAGACGTATTGCCGCGGTAGAGTATTGGATCTGACACCAAAAATACTGGATGCGAAGGATGTGAAATTCTACGAGATGTCCAAAGCGGTCCGTGTTGAGTTTATTGTGGAGCAGAGAGTCGATGACAGGCAGTACCGGATTGATGAATCGCTCTCTGAGGCGGAACGGAGTGAAAGGAGGAAAGCTATGACTTTGGATTTTATGGTTAGAAATGATCACAACTGGGTCGGAAGTACGGTTACTTTTGATACTGTCGAGCAAAGGGAAATTGAGATGTCTGACTTTCGCAAATACGATACTGTTGTAATCCGAAACGAGCTGTTAAACCGAAAGAGCGAAGATGCACGTCATATGTTGAACTCAGCTGCAAAGTACGTTCAAAATGATGGCCATGTGCTCCTCATGGATTTTGGGAAACCCTCTTGGCCGATATTGGTATCGCTCATACGATGGTTTAACTCTGTGACAGCAAGCTCTATGGACCTCACCCACGACTACAACAAATGGATCAAAGAAGATAATTGCTACTCTGTTGTGGAGGAGCGTAGGTGTCTGATGGGCCTTCATTATGCGTTGGCATTGTGTCGAAAAAAATGAGAACTACTCGTTTGATGGAGCCCTTTATGCTTGGTTTATTTTTGTCTTGTTGAATTCTAAGCATTTCAAAAATGTTTGAGGCAATGCTGTTTTTACTTTATTGCTTCTTGATGGGTTATTCTTTTTTTTTTTTAACCAGTCAAGAGAAATGGACGAAAGGCAAAAAAAAGCGGTAAGGGAGTTGAGGAAGCAACTCCAAGAAGTTGAGGATGCCCTTTCTGCCCAAGAAAGGCTACTGCAAGAGCGCGGTCAGAGAATGGCCCCGTTATCGTTGTCCGTCGCAGAAGCTGAAAATGCAATTGAGGAGAGTGAGGAAGAGTTGAGAGTAGTTCAAGAACAGCTCGAAGATGCTGTAAGAGATAATAGAATAGCTTATACGGAACGACAAAGGGTACAGAAAACCTCAGACAATCATCTACAGCGAGAAGAATACATTGGGGAGCTCTCCGAAGCGGACACCGGCTTGAAGGAAACCATGAATCAGGTTGATAGCCTCATGGATCAGGTAGAAGCACTCAATGAAACCCCCCAGGATGTGTATTCTCGACGGAAACTCACGTTGGTTAGTCTCATTTCAATGCTTGACGATTTGCATGCGTCGTTGAGTCGTAGTGTTCAGCGAGTATCTCATGAAGAAGATGCTAGAGCGCGGGATGTGCTCAAGGCGATACGCGAGCTTTCACGAGAGCGAGAGAGAGCATTTCGATACTGTTTCAGAAAAAAACGCCAAATCGTGGGTGTAATCAACATGAAAAAACAAAGAACAAAGGAGCTTAATCTGGAGTCTCAAAAAAATATATCAGTGCTGCGCGCAAGTCAGGAGATGTCAACGCTCAGTGTTGTTGAAAAAATACAGACGGAGCGCAAAGCTCTTCAAAACGAACTTGAGAGCATCAGAAATGCCAATCAACGGCTCTGGGATGCACTTCGCGACACGAAGTACTCCTCCGATACAGTTCAGAGTGGTGAACACAAGCGGGAGGCTGCCCTCTCAGCGAATGATGCATTGCACGGATATGCTGCTGTGGACGACGAGAAGGATTATCTACGAGAACAGTTGAAACTGTTTGATGCCAAGAAGAAGAAATTGCGGATGATGACCGAGGAGTTGAGAGCGAGTATGAATGTAGACGCGGAGAAAAATGCTCTGAAGCTCAAAGATCTCAAACGTGAAGTTCATTTTCAACAACAGGAAAGCCATAGACTTGAGGGCGAAAACCAAAAGCTGAAGTCGTTGTGTGACTCGCTGGCAGCTGCGCTTTAGGTGGAGCATTAAGAAAAGGAAAGATAAGACGATATTGCTCTCTCTGTTACATGTGCCATTTTGTCGAGTCTCCAGATTGCTGCCTTGCTATGAGATGTGTTTTTTTTTTCGTTTTGCTATACTCTCTCCGAAACCACAGACCAAAAAATAATAGTAGAAGGAAAAGAAACGATCAAAGATTGAAGTCCACCGTATCATCACTTTAGGGAAGATTCAAAAGATAAGGGGGAAAACAGGAAAGAAAATCGCTCATCACAAAAAGAGAGGATATCGGGAAATGCCTTTTGATCTCACGCCGCCACACGCGTATCAAACTACACTTCCAAAATGCATTCTGCGGATCGATGACAACTGGTATGATTGCACGGTTTGGAGACACACACACCCTGGAGGAGCCATGGTTTGCGATCAGTTCCACAACAGAGACTCCACTGACGTTTTTTATTCGCTCCATTCAAAGGAGGCTATTCAGAAGTTGAAGAGTATGAAGAAGATTCCCCTACGAGAAGAGGATAAACCGCGTGACGATGTTTCCCTTCGCTTTGAAAAGCTTAGAAAACAACTTGAGCAAGAAGGATGGTTTGAGCGGGATTGGTTTATTGACTTCAGCCGTAACATCATTCCTGTAATCATTCTCTGTGTTGTAGGTAGTCTTTTGAGCTACTCCTATCCTGTTCTTGCGGTATTTATGATTGGCATGGGCATGCAGCAGGGAGGCTGGCTCGCCCACGACTATGGTCATGCCCGGGGTAAATTCAGTCATCTCCTTGGTATCACACTTGGGGGACTTGTTAATGGTTTTTCTCTGAGTTGGTGGTCTCATAAGCACAATACTCATCACACCTTTCCAAACAGGAAACAACACGATGCGGATATTCACAATGAGCCGGTATTATACTTGTGGGCCCCTGAAGGAGAAGATGATCATCTATTGCGACGTTATCAGCACTTCTACTATCTCCTGGCGTACTCCCTGTTGTATGTGTCTTGGCGAATGCAATCCATAAGGTTTGTTCTTGGAAGCCGCAACACTATTGAGCGCTTGTTAATTGCTATTAACTACATGTGGTTGGCTTGCCTTCCTTGGAAGGTGGCAATTGGTAGCATTTTGCTTGGAGGTTTCTCTGTTGCTATCGTTGTGACGGCTAATCATCAAACTGAAGAAATGCTAGAGTCTGGTGATGAGTACAACTTTATTGCTGATCAGTACCGGACGACACGTGGTGTTTGCTGTTCTGATAAATTTTTTGAGTGGTTTTTCGGTGGAATGCAATATCAGCTCGAGCATCATCTGTTTCCTATGATGCCTCGTTATCGGTATCCAGCAGCCCGTCACATAGTTAAGAAGTTTTCCGAAGAAAACTCACTCCCATTTCATGTTAGTGGGGTGGCAGAAATTTTGAAGATGAATTATGCTGTTATGAAACAAAACGCTGAGGCAACTCCAGAAGTCCGAAGAACAGGGCAACTGAAAACGTATTCAAAGTGAGTTTGCTTGTGCGTGTGCGTCAGATTCTATAAGATTTGTATATGTGTGTGATTTGGTGGGAGGGAAGTTAAAGAATCAAAATGAAACCGAAGGAAGACAATGTCTTTTTTTGAAGGTTCAGGCAAAGGGGAAAATATAGGTGATATAGTATATCGTAGCGGATAAATGGCAAACATACGGTGATGAATTTTTACTAACAGGTTATCTCTTTCTGTGGTCCATTTGTTGCCGTCTGGGTGTCTTAAGTCACTACCTCTAATTCCAATTGGTGTGTGTTATTAATGTTTGATATGGTCACATATTAGATCTCTATTATACTTTTTTTTTTGTTGGTCGCTTCATTGTTTTTTTGTTTTATAGGTAAGATGATGCATTTACTATTGTTTGTTGCTATTGTGTTTGGCTCAATTCACGTTGAGGGCGCTGGTGTCGTTGAAGCCACCGATAAGAACTTTGACAGTGTTATTAAACAGAGTGAGATAGCGCTTGTGAAGTTCTACGCCCCATGGTGCGGGCACTGTCAAAAACTCGCCCCAGAGTGGGAAAAGGCTGCCAAGGATATTCCCAGTGAGGCGTCCATGATTGACGTTGACTGCACCAAGGAAACAGGGCTGGCACAGAAGTACTCAATAAAGGGCTACCCCACAATCATCCTCTTCCGTGGCGGTGAACAAGTGGAGACATATAGAGGTGCCCGCCAAAGTGCTGACCTTGTCGACTACGTAAAGGCAAATGTGGGGCCTGCCGTTATGTACCCATCAAACGCTGAGGAACTGTCAAAGATAAGGGAGGAACATGACACAGTATGCGTTGGTTTGACATCTGATGCCGAAAGTGCTCTTTCAAAAGCACTTTCTAACTCTGCAAAAGCTCTCCGAATGAAAATGAAGTTTGCACTTGTAACGGAACCGCAGCTTCTACCTGATGAGAATCCCGAATCTGTTCTTGTGTACAGAAAGGGCGACGAAAAGGAAGTCTATGATGGGAAGATGGAAGAGACAGAGTTAAAGGCGTTCCTGGAAACAGCCGTTCTCCCATTCTCAGGGGAGATAAATCCTTCGACCTATATGAAGTATGCACAGTCAACCATGCCGGTGGCATGGGTTCTACTGAAGCCCAACGATGAGACATCTAAGGAACTAAAATCTAAGCTTCTGGATCTTGGGAAGAAAATGCGTCGTCATGTGGTGCTCCTTTGGGTGGATGCGGAACAGTACGCCGTCGGGAAGAGTCTCAGTGTCCCAGATGATGCCAAGTACCCTGCTTTTGCCATTGCTAAAGGAGAAAAACATTATGTTCTTCCACCTACAGAGGCTGCAACCGCGGAGTCTATTGAGGCATTTATCATGGAATACGCCCAAGGAAATGCAGTTCCATCGATCAAGTCTCAGCCAGTGCCTGAAAAGGAGACGGTTGATGGGTTGACAACCATTGTGGCAAGCACGTTTGAGAAGTACTTGTCTTCAGGAAAAGACATATTGATCGAGTTTTTTGCTCCTTGGTGTGGGCATTGCAAGAATTTTGCCAATACGTATGCGAAGGTGGCAAAGGAGTTCGAATCTTCGGATGTCATAATTGCTGTCATGGACGCCACTGCGAATGATGTGGACAAATCCATCTTCGATGTGTCTGGTTTCCCAACGGTATATTTCATTCCTCATGGAGAAAAGCCCATCCTTTATTCAGGAGACCGTACCTTTTATGAGGTATACAAGTTTGTTCGTGAGCACAGCTCTGTTTTCAAAAATGAAACAGATTCAGTTAACCCTGAAGACACGAAGGAAACAGAAGCAGACACTGAAGGGGAAAAGGGTGACCTGTAAGGAATACGATTCTTTTCCTTTTCTGTCCTTCTTTGTGCGCACCAGGTTTTTTTTAGATCTGCGCTTTTCATCAAGGGTTACCTTGTTTAAAGGGGCAAACAATGCAAAAAAAAAGTGGCTCGATATATATAAAAAAAAAAGGATGAATATTTCTCATATCTCTGTGCGCATCAAACGACTCACTTAAGGTTCCTTTGGGTGAGGTTGTGTGTTGGGGTGGTGGTGGTGGTGGTGTGATGAGGTGATTGGACATTTTTCTGTGACGTGTTTAAAGAGTGATCTTCTTTACTTTTTATTTTTGCTCTCGTAGTGGCTTTGAAGGAAGATGGATTTCGCGGGATACCGCTGTTTTGTTCCGGGTGGTAACACGGATTTGAAGGAACTTCCTGGGGGGTCTTACGAAAGAGTCGCAGCCCTCACACAATCTTATCGTCAACGTTTGGCGCAAGCCGGTTCTAGTGTAGTTATCGATCACCCTTTGAAGCGAGAGGAGCGCGTGAATTTGTTTCTCACCGAAGAGGCTGAACAACGCTATAGTATTGAAAGGGGGGAACAGAATGATGCATGGACGATTTCGAGGCGATGGTCTAAGCAATCCTCTCTCTTCGGCAGAGAGCTACACGCCATTAAAGAGGCGAGACAGAAGAAAGAGCAACTCATGAAACAACGAGCCCTCCTTGAAGAACAAATTTACCGTGAGCAATTTCTGTACTTTTGGCGAAAACAAAAACAACAACATCATCATAAACGGTATAGCTATCCCAGTGATGTCGTTAAACTTATTTCATATGCGTACAAGCACAACGTACTGCCGTTTGCGACTGATCCTATCGAGTGTTGGGAAAGAGGTATTCTTGTCCCACCCGAATTACAGCAAGCTGTGGAGGTATCCGATGATCGGGGAACTATTCTGCTGCCACCGCTTCACGAGTTATCCATGAGCCTCCGAGAGGCTTATAATAAACATCGTGCGCAAGAACGCGGCGTTGCACTTGCCAAAAAAATTGCTATGCTTGAGAAGTGATTCGTTTTCGTTTTGGTGAGTGCCCCCATGCATGGATTTTTTCTTTCCTTGCCGAGCAGTGTAAAAAAAAAAAAGAAACTCTGCTTTAATGTCTGACATTTGTTTATATTGTTTTTGTGAAACGGCATATCTAATGCATGGATGAATGGCTGGGGAAAGGGGAAGAACGAAAGAGGGTGAAAAACAGAATGTTAGGGGTTGGAAGAATATGGATTTTCTTCTCATGCAATTTTCCGTGTTTACATGCTTCACTGCTGGTCTCTCGCTGGGGGGGGGGGGGGGGAATAGAAGTTGATGTCGCTGCTCCCAGTGTCACCACTGTGTAATTTGGCCCATTTTGCGGTTCACTGCTGTGTGGGAGTTGTACGCTCGCCGTGTAAAGGTTCAATCTTGGGTGAACCTCTGTGGACGTGCCGTTTGCTCCTGACGGAATGTGGTTACTCAGCATCTGTTTTGACGCAGCAAAGCAAAGCAGTGTGCAACCAGGAAATGCTCTCTTTAAAGTGTAGGGGAGTTCCGTTCGTTGAATATTGTGATTCCCGGTTGAAGGAAGGTGTACTCGTACATGTTGTGGCAAAGGTGTACAAAAAACCAAGGTTTGTTCCTATTCATGGCACGTATGTAGAGGATACCGAGTTGCTCGTCTCTGAACAGTTCGGCTCGTTGGTTCTTCTTGGGCAGCTGTGATTCTAGCGTTTCTGTAAAGGGGCGAATTCAAGTGGTGGCGAATCCTCGTTGCATATATATATATATATGTGTGTGTTTATTTATTTTATTCTGGTACTACATAATTTACATAGCGCTTTGAGATAGGTTTGCCTCATTTTGTTCCCTCTGTTTCACGTCTTTGCAGAAGATGTACCGGTGGCTGCTTCGTAGCACCGTGGCGGAGTGCACCAGCAGACTGGGTGTACGATGTCTGACGCGAGGTCCTAGAGTGTGTTGTGTCATTGGACATCTAAGCAAAACCCATTTTTTTTCGCCCAACTTGAGTTGCCAGCAGCGATTTCAGTCATCTACAGACAAACGGTTTCATTGCAGCGTTTGCAAGAAGGCCTTCCGTTTGGAGATGGCAGCGAAGTTGCACCTTCAACAAGCGCATGGTGGGGATGGTTTGGTTGAAGCTGGGCCTGGCCCTGGGGTCGAGACTGTGCCCAGCGTGCCATCAGTGCCACCTTCCAGTCCCATTGAGCGAAGTTTTGCCGACGACGAAGAGCGCCGTCCTCGCCGTATGAGGCCCACGCCAAAACCACTCCACCAACCCGATCGTGAGGTACCGGAGGCCGCTATGGAAGAGCTGCTCGGAGTATGGGACAAAATTGGGCTCAGCAGGTTGGAGAAAAACTTTGTACACAGCACAATGGTGATGAAAGTTTTTGCCGCGCGGCCTGACGTCTCTGAGCAGCCCCTTTACGAACCTGTTACTCCCGAAGGGGATAACCCCTTCGAAAACCTGGACCAGGTTTCTGCCGGTGTGGTGACAGAGTCATACATTGGGGACCATGCATTTACCGATTTGGACCTAAAAGAACCGTTTGTCGAAGCACCCGATTACACACTAAATCCATTTCGTGCTGGGAAGGTTGGAAACCCATTTACGAAGGTTTCTACCGCGCAACGCGAAGCACTTCGGCCTGCTCAGCAGCAGCTGGTAAAAGAGGAACCTGTAACAGCTCCAGTTACATCATTTGGTCAGTTGCCACTGTTTGGAAAGCAGCAAGAGTCGAATGAAGCCATAACAACAAGGACATCACAACAGGGGGCCTCTGATGTAGGTGAGGTTTCCTCACCCTTCTCGGCGACCATAGCCGATTCACCGTTTACTGGAAAAGTGGCTTCGCCTTTTGCTTCGACTTCCGAAACTGCAGCCACGCCCTTTGAAAATTCACCATTTACGGCGACATCTCCTTTTGCTGTTCCCGGAATGCAGCAAGCGGCGTCACTTACTGCACCAGATGCGTCTAGTCCTTTTGCTCAAAGTTCTTCGATCCCTCCTGCCGCGTTCCCCATGACAATGGGAATCCCCAACATGCCTGCAAATTCTCAACAGGAGCAATGTGTCCCAGAGCAAGAACATGAATGCCCCTCGTGTGGGAAAAAGTTCGCTACTTTCGACGGCGCCGCCATGCATAGCAAAGCAAAACATGGTGTTGTTCTCGAACTTGAGAAGAAGGAGAAAGGAAAGCAACAGGGGCGCGGCATACCGGATTTACCGGCATACATTCCAAGCCCTGTCGATCTCTCCTCGACATCTCCTTTTGGGACAAAAAACCCTGTTGGTGCATCCTGGGCGGAAACGGAGCTCATACCTCATGCTCAGTGCATGAGCAACATTACAATTCTAGGTCGCGTGCTCGATGTCACACAAACAATGGACAGCATTTCACACGTAACAGTTTTTGTACAAGGTGAGCGAAACGGGGAAGAAGAGACTGTAACACTTCACTGTTCGGGCGAAATTAACCGTCGGTTCAAGGACACACTGAAGCGTAATACCACGGTCTTTGTGAGTGGGACCTTACGTCTTCATCCTGTTTACGAGGCATCCAACAACAAGTACTACATGAGCCCTGTTGTGCACGTTGCGTTGCCAACGGGTATGCTGGCTGTGATCGCATAACTGTCACATCGAAACACCCAACGCTCACTCCCCTCATTTCCTTGGGTCATTCNCCCCCCCCAGTCATGGTATATTCTTCAAGGCCATGTATAAACTTCTCTGAGTAAGCGCCCTCTCTCTTTCTCTCTCTCTCTCGTTTTTTTCTCTTCCTTTCATCGATTTCGCATATATTTGTGTGGCAACATTGGTGTAGGAGCCATGGTGGAAACTCCACGAAGCAAAGAGGCTTTAGAAAGGCTGTGCAGCTTCCTCTCAAGTGAAAGCAACTCTATACATGACAGCAGCACACTAGCAGGTCTCTTTCTGTCGTCTCCACAAAAAAACGTTCGAACCGTGGAGGTGGAAGTAGCTTTTATGGTGTCTCCTCTGGCTCATCGCGTTCCTCTATATTTCGTTGTCCCACACGAGGTGCTGCCGGGGTCAATATGCATAGTTACTCCTCCACCTCAGCGAAAGTACAAGGACAAGGTATTGCGTCTGAGTGAAGACGGTGACGCTGTTGCACAGAGAGTCAAGAAGGTTATTGACACAAAAAAGCTGAGCATGAAGTTTGTTGATCCCGTTGCAGTGAGAGCGCTTGCTAACAGTTTTGACCATTTTGTCTTGCTCGGTGTGAAGAAGTACCCCCCTCAATTGACAGGGGAGTTCCTTGGCCACCAAAAACCACCTGTTTGGGTTCCGCGGCGTGGTGAGTTCAAAGAAGGTTTACTGAAGGCGGTCAGCACAGTGGTGTTTCCACGTCGGGGGCATAATGCTGTCACATGCCGTATTGGCCACACCGGCCTTACGCTGGATCAACTCAACGAGAACCTCCAGTCCTTTCTCGCGCAGGTGACAAAACATGTCCAAGCCACGAATCCCGAAAGTATTCTTCATATTCGTGTGGCTGGGACGAACAAGGAAGGCAGACGTGCTGGGCTTCCTATCTTTGGCCACACGTTTCGAATCCCGCGTAAGGTTGAAGAGCACGAGAGTGTAAAGGAGGAACCAAAATTAAAGAAGACGAGAAAAGGCGACTAAGTCAGAGTAATACCGGTTAATATAACCTAAACGCCACGCGTGTCTTCAAATTCCTTGTCTCTTTCTCGGTCTTTCTCTTTTTTTTTATTCCCTCCCTCCCTCCCACTTGTTCCTCGTCTCGTTCATTGTGATCTAAGAGATGTTTCTTTTCTTTGTTTTGCCTTGTTGTTTCTGCCGTACTTTTCTATGTCTCTAGGAAAAACTCGCGGATTCAAATCAACCCCTAAGAACATGTCGTTTATGCACAATGGGCCCACGTCCATGTTAAAGGACGGCTCGACTTTTGTTGACGATCCTGTTATCAAGAACATTGAAGCCTGTCGTGAACTTGCCAAAATCACTCGCAGTTCCATGGGCCCGTACGGGCTCTGCAAGATGGTTATAAATCATCTTAATAAACTTTTCGTCACTCACGACGCTGCAACCATTCTTCGTGAGCTGGAGGTTGAGCACCCTGCAGCCAAGTTGTTGGTACAAGCTTCTTATGCGATGCAGGAAGAAGTTGGTGATGGTACGAATCTCGTCGTTTCCCTGGCTGGGGAACTGCTCTCGCAAGCCGAAACACTTGTACGAATGGGACTCCATCCAAGTGAAATTGTGGAGGGATACAAAAAGGCGGGAAGCAAGAGCCTGGAAATTCTCGAAACCCTTACCGTTGGTACAGTGGATGATGTGCTGCTCAAGGATCAGGTGGTCGCGGCCATCCGTACTGCCATTGCCTCAAAGCAGTATGGGTATGAAAAGTTCTTGGCGGATCTGGTCGTTGAAGCCTGTATCAACGCTTGCCCCTCCAATGTACGGTCTTTCAACGTAGACAACGTGCGTGTGGCGAAGTTAGATGGTGACTCTGTGTTGGCGTCCAGGAGTGTCCGTGGATTCGTAATTGCGCGAAATCCCGAGGGAACGGTGCGTCATCAGAAGAATGCAAAGGTTGCCGTTTACGGTTGCGCAGTTGATGTCCCATCGACCGAAACGAAAGGAACAGCACTGATTGAGACTGCAGAGGACCTTCTTCAATATTCTAAAAAAGAGGAAGAAGTGATGGAAAAAATCATTACTAACATTCATAAAACGGGTGTGAACGTCGTGGTTTCTAATTCCACGTTTGGTGATCTCGCGCTGCATTTCCTAAACCGTTATGGTATTATGGCAGTGAAAGTCTCATCCAAGTTTGAGCTTCGCCGACTGTGCTCTGCTGTGGGCGCGCGAACCCTCGCTCGCCTCGATACGCCTACCGTGGAGGACATTGGATCGTGTGACAATGTTGATGTGAGCGATGCGGGGGGGAAGAATATCATCTCATTTGTTCAAAACAAGGACGACTCTAAGTTATCTACTATCGTCGTTCGCGGAGCAACAAAAAATGTTTTGGATGATGTTGAGCGTGCAATCGATGATGGCGTTAACGTCTTCAAGGCTCTCACAAAGGACAAGAGACTTGTAGCCGGTGCAGGCGCTGTGGAGATGGAACTTCAGAAGAAGCTCACATTATATGCTGAAGCCAGTCCTGGCCTCGATCAATACGCCATTCGAAAATTTGCATCTAGCTTCGAAGTTGTCGCCCGAACGTTGGCTGAAGTTAGCGGCTTCAATGGAACAGATGTCGTCACACAGTTGGAGGTTGACCACAACGCTGGCAAGATCCATCAGGGTGTCAACGTCGAAGATGGTACCACAATCAATGCGCTGGAAGCTGGTATTGTAGAACCGCACCTCACAAAGTTCTGGGCAATTAATCTCGCAACAGAAGCCGTCTTGACAGTGCTTCGGGTGAATCAAATCATTGTTGCCAAGCAAGCTGGTGGCCCAAAGAACCGTCCAGACCAAGCCAGAGATGAAGAATAGGAATGCTGTGTTGGCCAAAAAGAAATGCAGTCGATAGCGGGGAATCCGAACTGGTATTCCCTGGTGTTTGAAAGATAGATGCCGTGCGTTAACCTACGGAATTTTTGGTAATTATTTTTAAAGCCACATACACAGAGAAAGATCGTTGTTATTTCGCATTATAAGAGAAAGGTAAAATGCTGCTAGAGTGGCACTGTAAATAATTCTACCTGCTTCCTCCTCAACACCTGCACATCTTCCTTTACGTAATATTTTTTTGCTGTTCGAAAAGTATCTTACTTTCCAATTCCTAGATTTTTCTTCTTCTTTGATCTTTTAGAAATAGGCCGTCGCGTATATGTGCGATGGATAGGTACTGTTTGGATGTCCAGAACCAAAAGGTATCCACTTTTTGGGGCATCAAGGATACCGGGATCAATTATATTGTGATTGACCTTCAAAATAACTGTTTGAGAAACTTCGAACATTTTGGTACTCATCCGAGTTTGGTTGAACTGCGACTTCAAGGGAACAAAATAGAGAGCTTTATGGGCCTCACGAGACAGCCTTCGCTCTCTGTGATTGACCTCGAGGGAAACCCTATTGCCGCTCACCCATGGTACCGCATCATGGCATTACTGGTAGTTGGTTTCTCCATCACAAGCATTGATGGCACGGTTGTTTCTCCCGAAGAGCGAGAAATAGCGCGTTCAATGGGCCCTGCCGCAGCCCTCGCGGTCAGTTATGGTTGGCAGCTCCTTCCAGGGAAGAGATCACCGGAAGAATACCGGCAAATAATAGATGAGTGCAAGTACACCCGAAGACTGCTTGCAGGGCACCAGGGGTCTTTCCGGACAATTGCACATGCTATGGGGCCGTACAGGCAGTCTGCGATTGCTTCTTCTGCAATATGCAGCGAATCGGGGGGCATGAGTACCTCAAATGCTGCGGTGGTTAAACAACTTTCAACACGTGTAAAACAGCTTGAAGAATTGCTTCGAGGTCTCGAAGAAAAACTAAAGGCACAACAGACAGGGTCTGAGGAAGCATTGGGCTTGGGTCATATCGAGGGCCTTACAGGCGCCGAGTTACGCAGCGCTCGAACCATTTTGTTTTCAGACGGTATACACATGCGCTCAAATGTTGTATCATCACTGAGTCATAGTGACAGCGGTAGTACTCTTGGGTCACTGATGTTTGAGGGTTCCTCGTTGGTGTTTCTGACCTTTCTGTCACGGGCCCGTTTGGCCGAATTGGAACTCTGTGACATTCGAGTGGAACACCAAAATCGCAATTCCCTCCTCATTCAAGGCATCTACGGAGCCGCTTTTGATATCCTCTTTGATGATGATAAAATTCTCCAGAGCGTCTATAAGCTCCTGTATCTGCGTCGCGGAATGTCAGTGCCGCCACTTCGACAAAGTGGCAATGCTGAGGCGAATACCATGCTGAAAAAAGACAGAGCTGTCGACGTAAAAACGGATGACAACAAAAAAAGTGACATCAACAGCAGCACGTACATAGTACGGAGGGATGATCATAAAAAGCATCTCTCAAGGAAAGAAAAAGTGGAAGAGGAAGCGGTGGCGGCCTCCCTTTCTGTGAAGCCAGAGGGCTGTGCAGGGGGCAGCCCCCGGAGAGATTCCTCTTCACCGGATCCTCGATGTCTGTGTGCAAACGCGTCGCTCATACACTATTCAAGTAAAGACACGTGGCAGATTCACCCCCGCGATGGCAAGACTTATGGCCACTTTGCTTCGGATTCACCGACAAACAACATAGTTCATGACAATGCGGAATGTGGCACCGCTGAAGCGTCAATTCCGAGAAGTTCATCATCCCGGAGCCAATCACGGCAACATCAGCAGCAAGAGGCGTCGTCGAGAGTGCCGCGTCGGCGTCGCTCTTCCTGTTCTGTGCCATCAGTACCATCACGTTTGCCCTCATGCATGGGTAGCTCCACCACCTCGCGGGAACCTAGTGTCGGAGCGTCNTGTTCTGTGCCATCAGTACCATCACGTTTGCCCTCATGCATGGGTAGCTCCACCACCTCGCGGGAACCTAGTGTCGGAGCGTCAGCCTCAAGGTGTCAACCGCAACCACCATCAAGAGTGCCGCGTCGGCGTCGCTCTTCTTGTTCTGTGCCATCAGTGCCGTCGCGTTTGCCCTCATGCACGGGTAGTTCCACCACCTCGCGGAGCCTCAGCGTTATTGTCGCTCCGACAAAATCGCCTGAATCCCGTCTGCGCACCGAGATTATGCGGTTTCGTATTGCTGAATCTGATTCGGATTCGGTTTTTTAGCGGTGTTCCTCAATGCGTTTCTGTATTCTACAGTGTATAAAAAGAGAAGTGAGGAATTAAAGGAGCATTTTGCACCAGTACATTGGTTTTGTTTCGTCTACTTCTATGTAAGTTTTGTATATGTATATCATGACACTATTTTATTGTCCCAGTTATGTATTCCTACTGTTTGCACCGTCTCTTGAATATTGTAGTGTAGCAGCTATCAAGAGGGAAATGGAACTTCAAAAGGAGAACACTCTAGGTAAAATCGATGACGCTGTTAAGAAGGCCGTAGAAGACACCATCAGCGCAGAGGTTCGGTCTATGGCGATGGCTAGATATTCTAACCCATCGGCATGTGGGCACACGACATCCCATCCCTTTGCCTTGACGACGTTTGACACGTCATCTACGCTCCCCGACTTCCTCCCGCTGATAGGTGTGTCGTGGCCAGACTCGGTCAAAGCGGTTTGGAAGACGTTCAGGGTGAACTCCATTGTTGGTCTCTTTTCAGAACTATCAAGAGCGTGGATAACAGTGGATAACAAACTACTTTTGTGGAACTATAGCACGGGGAGAGATTTCTTTGTCTACGACGAGATACCTGAGCTTATTGTGGCGGTTGGTAACCCAATTCCGCCGGCTGCTGGGGTGTTCCAGCCGCACATAACGCTTGTATTACCCGTAGCTACTCCAAAAACGGTTCACTTGTTAGGTTTGTGTGTAATGGGGGAGGAACCAGGGAAAAAAGCAGAATTGTGTGTGGTGAACCTGGGCTTCTCAGTGGTGACACCAACGCCGATTACCAAGCTGGTTGGTCTGAGGGATACTGGTCGTGTCTTCACAGCTGGGGCGGATGGATGTCTCTATGAGCTGAAGTACACAAAAGAGAGCACACCCTTGCTTCCAAAAATTAGACTTGTAAATCATTCGTTGTTGTTCGGTAAAATTCCCGTCTTAAATGCCGTCAGTTCGCTTTTGAGTACCATCAAGCAGACATGGTCAACGCAGAGGTCCGCACTGCGTGACCTTGCTGTGGAAGCCAAACGCAGGCTATTATTTACTTTGGATGCGGAAAGTACAATAACACTGTGGAGGATTACGGAGGATGGTCTCAAACTTCTTACCACAGTAAAGCACAATCGTGGCTCCGCTGAGCGCCATCGACACCCAGAACCAGCAGCAGATGATACAAGTAGTCTTGTCAAGATCTTCTGTGTCTCACCTTACGATGAAAATTGCTCCCTCATCGCTATTTCTTCGAACGGCGAACAATACCGTTACGTCTGTCAAGAAGGGATGTGGGGAAGTATTGACGCGAGTCTCTCTTTACGTGAGCGGTTAGCGCCATACATATCTTCTAGTCGTGAAGTTAGCGTCTGTTTTGCCTCTGATGGTATTACTCTCTTTTGTCACACTGAGAAATGCGACGAAAGTGATTCTTCGGATTCTGTGGCTGTAGCTACTTCCCCAAAGGCAATCTTGCCACCGCATCATCATTGCCGCGATATTGTCGCAAGCTTTGAGCCTTCCGCATCCCGTATGGTTCGGGTGGACGCTATTGGCGAAGTCCCTGTAAAAGAGTGTGCAAGTCCTAACGAATTGTGTTCTCAGATTTCGTGTTCTCCAAGGCAGTTTGTATTTGTTCATCGCCATGGCATTTCAACGTTCATGAAACTGCGACCGGTGGATACGCTTCACATGATACTTTCATCATCGAGTCAGCAAACTCGTGACGGCCTCCTTCAACGGTTTTCTTCAGTTTACAGCGCTTCTGATTACTGCTGTATGCTTGTGCAAATTGCTGTTGGATGCACAAATGTGCCAGGTATTGTGAATGGACCATACATCGAAAACGGCATCGCTAATTTCCCCTTCTCTCAGATGGAGAAATCCCATGGGAGGACGCAACGGCCTCATTCAATGGAGCAACTTGGCTGTCAACTATTTGATACAACTTCACAAGAAGCTCAACGTCTTGCCCGCGAGATACTTCGCAATGCAATGATGCCTAGTTGGCATGAAGGCCTGGGATCCGGTGGTAGTACAAGACAGATTGTTGTGCAAATGTCACCCTTCGCGTTGGGCGTTTCGGCATACATTGGGAGGGCGCTATACGATGTGTGGCAGGCAGTGCTAGGAAATCTTCCACTACGTGAGTTATCCATCGTGGAAGTGGCGCTTTCTTCCTTGGTACGACTGTTAAACAGTTTGAAAAGGGATGTATGGTCAGTGAACCTTGTCCAACCCACTACGCCTTTTCATTGGGATCAGAGCAAAGTAACGCTGACCTTTCCATCCAATGGACCGTCCATATCTTCGTACGACCTCAAACGGCTCCAATCCGCGTTTTTGTACTCATCTCACTCTTTGTGTGAACGGGTGCTGCAGACGATAAGATTTGCCAAGCAAACGGCATACATTCCGCTTCTCCAAGATGATAGCAAGCTTACATTTGCGCAAGTTGTGTGTGATCAAAGCGTTGCACAACGACTGGCGCGCTACATTGGGAGAGTAGTGTTATCCTCAGAGCAAGGTGTTGGATTTTCACAACAAGAACGAGTTGGTCCGATGACGCAACTCCAAGTAGAATGTCCGTACTTTTTTAATTCCATCGATGTTCAGGAGTACAACGCACGCATTGAACTTGAGCAGATACTCTCTGGAAGTAATGAGAGCCTCCATACATTATCTGAAAGCAAATTAACCGAATGGGAGTCTTCCGTTGCTCAAATGGCCGCGTCACTTTGGTCTTCAGGAGCACTGCAAGGTATATGTCAGCAGCTGAAAGCACTTAAAAAAGAAGACACAGTGGTTAAGCTCTTACTTCACGCAGCATCTCAGTTGGACCCAAATAACTCAGCATTTGAAGTCTATCTTGCCGAACGAAGTGGTAACAGACGTCAAGGCATAAGCACTGCACTTGAAGAAGTTTACCAGCAGAAACAAAAGGTACTGGAGATGGTGGTTAGAGCCTTGGAAGATGCATGGAATACACATCGTAGCATTGTAGACAATCTGCTTGGCGGCCCACTGTCCTCTGGTACTATTTGGCAAATTGAACCTTCGGACGAAATGGCGCATTGTTTCCTATTCGATTGGATGTGTGTACCACGAGACGATCCAACAATCACATCCATGCTCAAGGAAACCATGGCCGCTGTGCGCTCTCCGTTTCTTGAGGTTTACCTCCAGCGAAATGCATCGGCACTGGGAGAGACATACGCCCATTACCTGCGGAGAACAAAACGAGATTACAACAAGGCCATCGGAGTTTGTGCTGCGATGGCACAGGCACCGCTAACAGATATTCCCCGGGAGGAACGCATACTGTACCGACTCCGCTGTTGGTCTGAGGCAAAAGAGTGCGCAGCGGAGTGTAATTCTGACCAGCTTACTCTCCTGGAGCAGCGTGTAAAGCTTATGGAGGCACAACTGCAGCTGTCGAAAGTTATCTGTGATTTTATTAATAGCGGAATCCCTCAGTTGGATCGACGGTTTACAGTGGATGGACGTGGATTTTTGACCGAACGTCAAGTGGCGCTGGAGCAAGTTGAACTGGTGGAGAATCATGCGCTTTCTGCAAGTCAATTACTCGAGGTTGCTGGCATGTTCTGTGCCTTCGGAGGGGCGGAAATACAGCTTGACGTCTTGGGTGCGGCGAACGTTACAGACGCTTCACTTTACGCCGCCTGTATTGAACGAGCTTTTCAGAGAAGAAATATCACGGTTGAAGAGATGGCAAGGCGCATCCTTGGGAAGTGTGGGCACATAATTGCCTTTCCCTTAAGTCACGTAGCCAAAATACTTGAGGCTTATGCGTTTTTTCAATCACCTGAAGGATCGACACTGACTGTTGACGTGCTCAGTGATTGTGGAGTAGAGCGCAGTATCGTATTCTCAACACTCGCGGCAATTCTTGAAAAAAAAGACACCGTTGGCGTTCCATGCGAAGCCTTTGATCAGGCTGGTGTGACAGACGCCTTCTTGGTGCACTCACTGGCAGTTGCACTACATCGAGCTGTGCTTGTACCACATATTGGATCTGTGCAGTTGCATTTCTTGAACAATGCCCTCAACACTGTTCGTGAAGGTATTAATAGAGTTGCGTATCTTCCCAATGATGAATACAGCTGCCGAGCATTGGCCACAGCAGAGAGAATACTGGAACAGTGCCACCTCGCAGCAGGTCGTTTAATGTCAAGAATTGGATTCTAAGGCTTGTAAGAAGAAAAAGAAAGTTAGAACGTTTGATCCGACAGAAGTCTTTTGAGGTTAGGGTTGGGGATGCAGTAGTGTGACCTCCAGTGAGCCCATTTTCTCGTCGATGCATACAGCTATTTCCCTCTGTGTGTTTCTCGTTGTTGTTGTTTTTTTTTTCTTGTGGGGGGACATCACATAGTGAAAGGTTTATTAGGGACGATGTCCAGCTGGCTCTCGGCAGAGGAAACGCGTACAGGGACGTGGGGTTGGCAACAGTGCGTCGCTCGCATTGAATCTTTGCGGCGCTCTTCGGGTGAATTAATTGGCTACTGTGATGTTCGGTGTGAAAAGGGGCATCGCGTGGATGGCAATGTGTGGTACGCTGATCGGTACCTTTATCCAAACCACTGGCAGCCCGGTTCGAAGGTGCAGCCGAAACTTGTCGACGACGGTGAGCCGCAGTCCTGGTTTAACGCGTGGGCCACGGCTACTCTAATGCGGCTGGGTCTGCTGCTGATGGTGATTGTGTTGCTCCTTGTGTTTATATAGACAAGCCCCTGGTTTCAACAAAAAAAGGAAACGAAGGGAGGGAAAAAATATATCTATCTCTGTCTTTGTGTGGATATGCATGGAAGTCTGTGTTCCCTTCCAAGGGGAGGATAAGCATGACTGGCGGTCGTATTCCCTTTTATCCCCCTCGCGATCGTCAGGTCACTTGTAGCAAAAAAAATAAAGGGGGAGGAATGACTGATGTCGACACTCGGGTGGAAAGGCTAAAGGGTAGAATCAAAAGAAAACGCGATGACGTGCATCGATACTTGGAAGCTGCCTTTTACCATCAGTGCCGTAATGTCCTCAACGCTGTAATAAAGCATGACGTGAATGGTGTATTCGCCACGAACCCCGCCGAGCTGCCGGAATACGCAGTGCGGGTTTCTCACCCGATGTGGTGGAAATTAATCTCTAAGCGGCTTGATAAATACGACTACGCCGACAAGATGGAATTTGTGCACGACATGAGGCTCGTCGTAGAAAACTGCTACGCCTACAATGGTAGCGCGTCCCCTGTGTCAGCACTGGGTTGTCGACTGGAGGTGGAAATGGAGGACCTGTTCCTGACAGAGCTCGCAGTCGCACCGCCCGATGTGCGTGAGATTCTTAGACTCGGCAAGGGCCTAAACCACGCGCAGGCGCGGCAGCTGTGGCTTCTTATCAACCGCTACGAGGACCAGGGACAGGGGAACGCAGCAGCGCGGCAACACATTGCCCCGTCGCAACTGAAGTGCGCGACACAGCGCCGCGTGCTCGCGTTTCTGCGCCGTGCAGTGGGTACGAACGAACATAATGGCCGTGCCGAGAGAGCACCTCCTGTCCAGCAGCCGCAGCAGCAGCAGCAGCAGCGACCTCCACGTGCCGCAAAGCCTCAGGCGCCGCAGTACCCAACGCGAAGCATTCTTGAAGCCGATGCGGATGTAGAGTTCAGCTCGGACCAGAAGGCTGAGCAAAATATTCCGCCAGAGCCGCAGCTGGATCGAGTGCCGCAAAACCAACGGGCAGGGCTTTCGGCATTCAAACCAGTCAGCCCTATTCACCTTGGCGAAAGCTCAGAGGAGGAGGAGTTGGAGGATCTAGAAGACTCTGAGACAGTGGAGAAAATTTGACGTTGTTTCCGCATATGATGAATGTTTTACCACTCTGATCGGATCCTCTAGGCCGTGCACTACACAAGCTATTTTTTCCTCTCTCCTACAGTTACTGTTTCTCCTTTTGTTGGATGTATTTTTACAACGTAGAGAATTGCTTGTATTGTATCTTCACCTGTATCCTATCGTGATGAGTGGTGTCGTGAGAAAAGAGCAGTATGCCAGTGTTAAGAAGATACAACGAGCACTCTTAGGTACACAATCCAAGGCACCGCGTCAAGAGCCTCCAGGCGTGGCCTCCGTTGGCCTCATCAACATTTTGGGTGGCAAAGAGGCAAAGTTGCAAGCACTCGTGAGGCACGTGGATATCGGCGCACACGAGTCCCTGCAGCCTATCAAGTTGCTTATAGAATTCATGAGCTTCATCGTGGGCGGACTTACCGTTGAAGCGGACAAGGTTGAGGAGGCTATATGTGATGCGAAGAAGGTCGCTGCAACACTCACACATGAAATTCAGCGCTGCGAAGTAGAACTTCAGTACAGACAGCAGTATAGTGGTACCAACGTCACTCGAGCGTTGGCTCAATTCTACCGTGCAAAATGTATATTTTCTCCGAGCGCATCTGTCAACACCACGGAAGGGCACTTGCGTGAACTCGCTCAAGCCATAATGGAGGATCGCGCTCGTCTACAGGAAACCAGAAGCAAACTGAGAGTGTTGACCATGGTACAACGTCTTTTGTGGGGATCAGGTAGCGTGCCCCAGGAGGATGTTGAGTGCGTGCTGCGCGACTGGAGCGTCACACTTACTATTCGTCGTTTTAACCATAAACTGAGAGACATCATGCTTCCACTTAAAGAAGAGGCGCGTAACGCACTTGGTTGCTTGTTGTCTCTTGAGGAGTTTATTGTGCATGTCGATATTGGGCTTTCCGCAGCCACGGAGGATTTGGAGGCTTGTCTCGTGTCATTGAAAAAGTGCATTTTGATGCAAGAAGAAGACTCGCGTGTCCGCCGCATCAACGCGATGCGGGAGAGAGCTTCGACGGAACCCTCCTTCATGTTTCACTTATCACGTCCTACTGAGCGATATTCGGCATCTGCGATGGAAACTGAGGAGCTCAGCAAGTTGTATTGCTCCTAGAGTTTTTGTGTTGTAGTCTCTCCCTTGTGTGGTACGATACACACTGAGCAACACAAAGAAGTGTGGCTACTAAGGATTTCTTTTTTCGGTACGAAATCTTTGACTGCTTAATTTGAGCTTCTCCGTTTATTATTCGTCTTTCCTCGTGTTTCCTGTACGCTATTTTTCATCGTAACTCAGGTTGTGAAGCTGCGTATTGTAGGTACCGCATTGGGTGATGAGTCGTAAAAGGCTGCGATCGCCGGAGGTGGTTCAGTATTGGCTTATGAAATCTGAGCCGAATAAGTTTTCTATTGATGATCTAAAAGCGAGTGGATGCTCTCCCTGGGATGGTGTGCGTAATTACGCGGCGCGGAACAACATGAAGTCAATGAACATCGGTGATCGTGTCCTGTTTTACCATAGCAACGCGAAACCCCCAGGTGTAGTGGGTCTCGCCTCTGTCACGAGAACAGCGTACCCCGACCATACAGCGTTGGACTCTTCTTCAGAGTACTACGATGCCAAGGCGAGTGAGGACAAAAACCCGTGGGAGATGGTCGACGTCCAGTTTGAGGAGAAGTTCCATTCTTTGGTTTCTCTGGAGCAGTTAAGGGGCGAGAGCGTATTGCGCAACATGCAGTTGTTCTCAAGATCGAGACTAAGTGTGCAGCCTGTGACACGAGGTGAGTATGAGCATATCGTGTCGATTGGACGAAAGAGCAGAGTGCCAATATATTGACGATTTGATCGGCTTGGTTTGTTTTTATTTTTTTCGCTGTTGTTGTTGTTTTTTTTGTTGTTTTTGATGAGCAACTAACATTGTTCTTTTTTTCTTTTTCTTTTTTCTTGTACTTTTTGCATGTGTGTGTGTGTGTATGTTTTACTTGGTGTGGAAATATGGCGAGCTGGATGGTTTCGGCTTTCCCAACTGCTGCGCCGCCTCCCCCAGTTCCGGGCGCGTTATTGCCAACACCCGCTCTCTGCGTCGAAGCAGTTCCTGCGATGCAACGTGGGAGTGACCAGGTGCCTGCCACAGTACTGCCGCCGCCGCAAATGAACGGTCCCTTCTCACAACATCAAGTGGTCGAAATGATTTGTGGTGGAAATGTGAAAGGGGCTGATTCCTCGCCTGTGGTCTACCCTCCCTTCTCAGCGAATCAGCAGAAACGACACGTTGTTCCTTTCGGTGAATTCATGATTCCTACAGTCTTTGCTGCCCCAGTTTGCGTAAGCGTCGAAGAGACTGCCTCTGCGCTGCCTCAACAGTTGCCACCCCCCTACATTGTCTTTGGTGGTGCACGATATGAACATTTCCCGGTGGCGCGGAAGGCGCGCCACTTTGACGACCCGAACAGCCGCTGTCAGCGTGAGGCTGAAATGATGAAAACTACACTGAAGAGCATGTCAGAGCAACTCAAACTTGCTGTGTCGTATCTGCATTTGGAGCCACCTACATTTCTCAAGGCATCGCCTCAAGTGCGGAAAGGATTGCGGCACAACGTTGACACACCAATAGTTACCTCCCTGTCAGAAGAAGGTGCTTTTTCACAGAAGAATATTTGGACAGTGGCTTACACGGGATCTGCAAAGGAATTGCATGTGTTCATTGAGGACTTAGATAGCGACGCACTCAACGCCAAGGGATGTGTGCTTTACAGCCGCCGGCAATACGGTATTAAAAAATGTGGTGAAAAGTATGTTTTGGGTCTTGGTCAAAAAGGCAGTGCCCTCCAGTTTGCCGCTGTGGCAGGTCACCTGGACAACGTTCTTCTTCTTCTTCACTGCGGTGCGGAGGATTACACAATACCGCGCTTAAAAGATATCCTTGGCGCCGATGTGATGCAAACCATACAAGCAATGAGGGTGAGCTCACGCGCTAAGCGCATCGCCCGATTCACGTGTGCCAAGGTGGATCACGGCCCCCGCACGAAATCCCCAGAACCATTGACAGCGCAGGAGATTGTGTCTGCCATTCCAGCATAGGAGCGGCCAGCGGGGTTTTCACTATAGACATGTTTGCCTCGGCACCATCACATCTGCAGACATACCTGCCTAAAGGCGGAAGTGTGTGGTTGGTCCCGTGCTCAGACAGAGAACGCCAGTATTAGGTTTTTTTCTTCTTTGTCGTTCTTTATTTTTTATTTTTTTGGTGTTTCTTTGGAAGTGTTGTGCCATTTTCCCCCTCGGCATGAAAAGTCTTCTTGACAGATGCCTATTCAGGAGGGAGTGGGATGACGGAAAGGTAGAAGAAGTCGTCAAGTACGCCGGTAGTGGCAAGGCGAAACTGTTCCGCACCGGCGCGTTCACATCTTTTTCTGTGAAGGAATCCCACCAGGGCGATGTGAGGCATCTTCCCACCGGCGCGCGCACATTGCTTCTTGATGCTAACGCTGGTGAAGTTGTTGTGCGTGGTGTCAACAAATTTTTCGACATCGAAGATGTTGAGCGCGATTTAGATGACATTGGTAAACTCTGGGAAATGGGGTCTGTGTGGTTGCAGAGAAAAATGGCTGGCTTCACTGTTACGTGTTTTTCCCTCGATGGCGAGTCTGTCAGTATTGCCACAAAACACGTTGTAGAGGGACCGCATGTTGATGTGGCCCGCCGCATACTCTGCAGCTCATTGAGTGCTGAACAACAGAAACAGCTTGCATCAGACTTGTTCTTGACAGGGGCCGCGCTGAGCTGCGAATGCATTTCTGCAAAAGATGATCCGCATCACCCAGTCCCAGAGCGGAACGAATACGACAATACTCTTGTAATCTTTTCCGCACACAAGCGAAGTGACCTACGAGAAGTGAGTGTTTCTTTCGAAACGATGCGAGTGATGGCGGAGCGGTGGGGGCTGCCAGTGGTGCCCTGCTGGCGTGTTAGTGGTCGCGAGGAGCTGCACGGGTGGTTGCAGGAGAGGGGGCTCTGGCGGGGAAAAGGCCCCGACGGGATGCCACTTGGTGAGGGATATGTTCTTCTTGTCGAAGTTCCGACATCCCATCTCTCACCAACGGTCATAATAAAGGATCCCTTTACTGTGGTTCCAGTTCGATTAAAAGCAAAGACTGTAAAGTACCGTGTCCTGCGGTCCTTGCGCTCCATCGTTGCTGGGGATTCCGTGGCGAGCCCGCAATTGTTTCATGAGGTCCTCGCAGTATGGTCGGAGCACGTCGCCGGATATAGGTGTTTTCGACAGGCAGTCACAGAGCACGGTGTCTTCAACTTGTGTTCACAGTTTGAAAAGCACGTTAGTGAACGAAACGGCGTAAGGCTTCGTGGGAGCGAGATGAGCATAGGGCGAGCCTTTGAAAGACTAGTGGAATTCACAGAAAAGCAAGCGCATGCGAGGTCTCAGGCGCCGCTGCATGTCGCTATGTTATGTGGTATTCCGGGAGTGGGGAAATCAACGCTAGCGCAGGCCATCACTGAAATGGCGGAGCGGGGTTGCTCTCCCTTTCGGTACGTCATTCACCTGAATCGAGATAGAGTTGCCAATGACGTTGCAGTACGGGAGGGCATAGACGGCTCCGCCAGCAAGCACAAGCAGCGGAAACTAAGGGCCATGGTGCATCACGCCATGTTGAATGCACTGACTCGTCTGATATTGCTCTCATTTCTCCACAAAGGGCCTGGGCTTCTCATTATGGATGCTTGCAATGCCAAGGTCGACACAAGGCGTCTGTGGCGTGATGTTTTACCCAAGGAGCTGGAGAGCTTTCGGATTTTTCACGTGACATGCACTGACAACTCTACACTCCTGCAACGACTTGCAAATAGAGAAGACCATGAGGTGCTTCATGATCTTTCGGAGGCTCAAGCTGCACTCTACGCGGTAAAGAAATCGTTTGTCGAGCCTCCGGAGAGTGAACTATGTGTGCGGCTAGATACTGCTATCAGCTCGGCGGAGGACATAGCTCGACGCGTCCTGTCGCTCTACACTGGGGACAAGCAACCCCACGCCTCCATCTATGACTGTCGGCAAGCTGAAGAGGAGTTGACGACCCTGCGAGCCGCACTCATTGGGTCACTTGTTGGGTCTGTCGACCGAGACGTCTCAAAACTATTTGCAAACACCGTCAAACGGGCAAGAGCGGGTACTACCGTCCTTGTGCAACTGAATATGTCATTCGATAAATTGATTGCGATTGCAGCCGATACCATCATGAGTGTGGTGGCCTCGAGCGGTTCAAGTGAGAGCTTGTGGGAACGATGCCGATGCGCCCCAGACTTCGATGTCAGGCGTTGTGCCGCGAAGGTAGAAGAGGGCCACACACGCTGGATTCGAGGATGGCTCTTTGATGGAAGTGACTCAGACGAGTCATTTTCGGTGGATGCATGGCGTCACGCTTTAGAAGAACGTTTTGAATGCAAGCCTTGTTTTCCACATGTTACGCTTGTGTTTGATGGTTCCAACGCCGAGGCGCTTTCTCTGCTCCCAATGCCTGGGAGCACTGCTGAGGTGACTCTCAGTTCTGTCCTGCTTGATCGGTCTGCTCTCTGCTTCAGCGCCACAGTAGCGGCAAATGGACAATGTTACGAGCACCAGCTGGACTCACCAGTGGCAGTACCGTTGCACGTGACGGTTGCCCATACATCAGAGGTGAAGGCCTCTTGTGCAGGAATGATGTTTGGCCTCTTTCAAAAATGGGGACATCACAACGCGGAACTGGAGCAAACGAGACATGATACTTCAGTGAAGCGGAGTCGTTTAAAGTTCTTCAATTTCTTGAAGGCCCATCTGGATACGCCCATCTGCGTGCGAGGGGTCGTTGTTGTTGAAACGTGAGAAATAAAGCTCTTATATTCACTTAATGGGTGAGATGGCTGTTCGATTTCTCTACGTCTGGCTGTTCCACCCATCTCTTGTTCCCTATCTCTTTCTTTTTTTGTTCGAGTGTTGGAAGAAAGGGAAGTACAGACCATGGCCGAGCCTATTGATGGAAGAGCCATCCAGCATGCAAGAGATGAGTATATGCAGCACTTTTCGGATGTATTTGCTGAGGAATTGGTGAAGGTGTACGAATCCGACGGAAGTGCAACAGCAGTGGAACAGCTGACTGCTTGCATCGAGGTTGGGGTTGCGGTGTGGGGTCATCCCATTGCCATAGGGAACCCGATTAAGTGAGCAATGACGCTGTGTTGTTTTTGGTCGATTAAAGCTCTGGTATCGGCGTGTTCAAATCGGCATGTCCGTCCCGTATATATATATATA